TATGTACCGTAAGGTTGTGTTAGTAAATGGTTGAGGAAACTTTGAGAACCCATTAAGCTTCTTTTCAACAGAAGCAATCTCAGAGACCAAGCTATTGAAATCCCAGTTAGGCTCAGGGTCAATACTAATCCCATCAACACTTTTGGGACAACGAGGCTCCAACACAATTCCCCTGCAGAACCCATAAGAAAGCGAAATTGAAAAATAGAGAAATTTCATAACTTTTGCCCGACCAAGAACCCAACCCTAAAAGAAAAGAGCTTACATTGCGGATTCCGACACTCTGCGAATCGTCTTGATTCTTTTCTATGAGAGAAGATAAAGACGAGAACTAGTGCCTTGATTCTACTCTCCGAGTCGAAGATCTCTCGAACATTGCACACAGAACAATCTCGGAAGCTTTCTATTAAACTGGATTGAGAGGAAAAACGATGTCGTTTAGATTATGTGAGGAAATTAAGAAAAAGAAAACCGTCTGTTTTAAATAACCGGTCGGTTTAAATCAGATAAATTGTCGTTCAGATTTTCGGTAGGTTTTCCATTTGAAAGATGTATAAAATGTGTTTTTTTTAAAACTAAAAATGAGAATTTTTAAAGAAATATCGCTATTAATTTTAAATTTCTAAAAACAATACAAATTTAATATCAAAATTGTTTTCTACTAACCAATCTCAATCTGGTTTTGTCACTATTTCTGGTTCAATCACGTTTCCTCTATTGGGCTTTAGTAGTCTGTTTTTTTTTTTTATTAAAAACAATTTGGGCCTTTGGCTGGGCTCTGTAATATATTATTTCTTCTGCATTAAAAAAAAAAGAAAGAAAAACTTATGTTTAAGGACAAGAAACACAAAAAGGATTAATTACTTGGACGTAGGTTTAAGTGTTTAACTTTAACGGTCGTTGAGTAACGCTTTTAAGTCTCCATTAACTTGTGAAAAGGTGTGTGTCGAATTTATGATTACTAGAGAGAGTAACTTTATCATGGAAATAAAATTGCATTCAAAGGTATGTATTTCTTTCTCAACAATAAAAAAGGTATGTATTTCGATTTTGTATATTTTTCCATGACTATTTTACTTTCTTTTAAAAAAAAAATTGTTGATTTAATAAATTACAAATAATTTTTGCAAATGTTTTCGAATCTTTTTTTTTCTGCATTTGAAGAGTTTTGTTTGGTTAGATTTGGTCTTCCACATAATAGCGATTACTTTTACATAGTGATTATATGTTTTCCTGAAGAAAAAAAATGAAAAAGATAATTGTCGACTTAATTCTAAGAATTTGTTTAGATAGGTATAAATTTACATATAGATAACCATATTTTGAATTGAAAATGCATCCCTAATCTACATATACAAGCCAAATAGTGTCGATGGGTTTTGG